TTCTGTTCTTAACATTACAGCTATTGTTTAGTTAAACCAGTGTTTTCAAAACTTTTTTGAAAACACATTTTAATGGCAAGTCTATAAGTTTCACCTAGACCACTTTGAGAATCACTGAGCTAAACAAAAGAACGCTCGCATATTGGCATGCATTAATCAAGAGAGCGAGTTTTATTTTCGACACATTTGAGGATATCAAATTGGGATCAAAACAGCCGATGTTAATTAAACTGAAGATTACTTAATGGATATATTTGCTTAGATCTCACAAAGAGCGGGCGCACAACAGCTATGCGATTGTCAATTTTTTCGTATCCAATTCAACTGTTTAGTAGCAAAAGTAAAAATCGAGTAGTGTACGCACGTAACTACGCCGTTAAACTTAGGGGTAAATATTTTGAATAAAAACCCTAATGTGAACAAGAAAATGAAACGCATGGGAACAGCTAGTCAATACTAATATTAAGGGAAAGATTTGTATTTTTGCATGTATTCGATTAACTTAAATACTACTGGGCCGATTTTAAAAATTCTTTCACCGTTAGAGTATCATAGGCTGTATTTATTTTCACACGCGGGAGAAGTCGCGAGCAACAGCTAGTTAGAATATTCGTAACTCACAAATGCAGGGAAATTACATTTTTAAAGCCGGATGGAAGTAGTCCGGGCCTTGGACTAAATCCGTATTGTAATGCGCCAACAATCCTACAAGATGAACAATGCCAACTATAATATGAAGCCGCCATTCAATGTAGATTTGTATGTTAAACGAATAAACTCGTGTTACCATAATATTCTAACTATACAGGATTTTATTTAAATTTCTGTTGTCTATTGATTGGTTTGCAATATTTTAATGCTAATTAAGACTAGGAAAAGGGAGAGACTGAGAAACCATTCGGTCAATAAATTATTAATTATCAGCAGTTCGTGACTTCGTCCACGTGAAATTAAAAGAATAGTAAAAAATATAGCCTATGTTACTGATAACGTATCTGTGTAACGGTGAAAGTATTTTCGATGTCCGCTCAGTAGTTTTTGAGTTATTTCAATAGATACAAAAGTGCAAAAATCTAAATTTTTCCTCTTTATAATATTAAGTATAGATAATAAGAAATACTCAGATTATTTAGGACAAGTGACACTAATTTAAGAATGAAAGTCGTGAAAGTCATCTTAAATATATCTATACCTCTATCTAACTCCTGATAATAAACAAACACAAAGGTACACATAAAACATAAATGCTAACTTTATTTAAACGGACTTTATTTATCTGTGTTTAATTAATTTTTATACTCGACATAATTAATAACATACTGAGTAATGGATTAATGGTTTGAGTCAAGGTTAACTTTGCCAGTGACAATCAAATAAAATACAATAAAAAGGAGCTAATCGAAATTCGAATGTTTTTTAATAGTATATATTAATAGTATTAGTAGTTTTTTTTTTGTTAATTTACTAATATTTCATTAAACCATTTCAACTTAGCTCTACGCTTGTGCTAGGATATGGCTTCACGACAAAAGTCGAATGTCGGAATTCGAACATCTATATACTAAAAAAACGTCACATTATTTGTCAAGTCAAGTAATTTTATTATAATTTCTACAAGTTTTGATGACTTTTTTAAGGAATCCGTAATTTTTATGTTGCACATGGTAACACTAACAAAAGTCATACCATCGCGTATTCATAATTGGTTACAATTATTGTTTGCAGGGGCTATCCGAACTCTATCGATACTGATTAGATCGGAATTCAGAAACATATTCTCATATAATAGTGCTTAAGCACGCAAAAGCTACGGATTTTTAACCAATAATCTACGAATCTATCTACATAGATTTTGTGATAATTATTTGTACACATAATACTAATGTATTTAATTTACACAATGTAAATTAAATTTTTAAACATGGCGAAATCGTTTAAAAGCGACTATTCTAATTAACTAAGAAATAGCATTTTAACTACTAGTTTATTCCTATTGCTACTAATACGAGTAATAAATAGGTAGTAAAATTGCTATAATTTTTTACTACTAGCAACTGGAATCAATTGTGCATACCTAAATATTAAGGTGATCTCGAAAACCCACGTAATTTTTCTCATATCGTATTCAGAAATGAAAATAAATATGGCATATAGCGAAATAAAATGGCGGTAAAATATTTATTTATTGCCACAACAAAGCACACGGTGTTCCGTACAAAAATACACTACGAATATAAACATTACTTTTTTATGTAACCGCCCGACGAGAAATGAGTTTATTTTTTCACTATTAGTGTAAAGATCGAGGCAAGAACCTGCCAATATTAAGAGCTACAAAACATTCGAACCACAGATAATACAATGTTAGTATTCGAACCAACCAACCTTTTTGGTAATTAACGCCGCGGTAACGTAGTGGCACACTGGCAAGTTTTATTAAAACGGTTACAAATTAAAAATAAATTAAACACAGATAAAATATAAAATGGACCTAGCAGAAATTAAAAAAAAACACACATTATTACAATAATTGAAATAATAAATATTAAACACGTATTTTATTGATAAAGATTAACTTTAGTAAATTCATAAAAAAAGGATTGTAACCTCAAATATTTTTGTAAAGTACTTCTGTTCCCTTCTTTTTACTGTTAATTCTGGAATTGCATTATCGTAACGTTAACACAAACTACATCCAAGCTCATTAATGTCAAAACTAGTAATAAAAGAGGTTATATCTGGCGCGTTCTAAATTTAAAACCGTGACTTATTCGCGCCGTTTATAATATTGTTGAATGCGCGCAATAAAATATCAATAATTTATGCGCCGGTCTATCTCTGTTATGATTTACTTTTTTTCCCCCAGTTCAAGAGTCCGGATGTAATAAGTCATGTCTTACCAAGCTTTGTCGGAGATTTCCTCATTGCGTAATATTTTTCTTATAAATATTACGTATTGTTTATGATGTGAAAAATCGTGTTATTTCTGAACGTTTTATATGCAAAGGAAGCTAATAAAATTTATTTCGACAATCAGTAATAGATATGGTACTTTTAATAGCGCTTTTAACCACATAGGTTAGAATCGTGGTCAAGTTTTATTTCGTTCTTTATAAACAATCTTTATTATGTGTTATAATAGCAAGACAAGCAATTTAGAATTAATTAAAAATTCCAAGCTATATAAACTACATTTTTTGCTAATATTAAATGCTTTATTATCTACATTCCTTTGTACATGCCTAATCACAATACAAGGATTATTTTCACGTTGTCTATGAATCCATTGTCCGGGCGCTGTACTGGTTTCCAATTTCAGATGATCGATGTTTATACGTTGCGTCCAGTTGACCCCCTCTTCCCCAACCCTCCTGCTCCGGACATCAAATTGACATCGTGATGGATTAACAGCTACCCTAATGTTCACCCCTATTTAATTTTGCCATAAAATCGGGTAAATCTCCCCCAGTCATGGGCTTGGTAATTAATTTGTCTATCTAAGTTGAAGCAAATTTTTGTCCTTTTTTGTGTAGAAATATATTTTTTACAAGATGTTTATTATTTAACGATTTCTTCTAAAATAAAAGTTATATATAATGGGATAGAAAAATTATGCCTTGATCCTAAATATAAATAATTTTCTTCCACAAAATCGGAACGTGACTTACCAGCGAGTATTTTTTACAGTTTTTTGATCTATCCCCACATAAAAAGTATTCTGTGTTTGAAACGCCACCGTATTAAATGCCGGTTGAAATCGTTTTCGTTTTAGATATTGAAAAGTTATATTTGTATTGTTTTTTAGATTATAAAATTGTCATTTTTCAAAAATAACGGCAAAATTATATCAATCGTAAAATGGCAAACTTGCACTAATGTGTTGAATGCAATGTAACATACACGAGTGAAAATAAATAGTGCACAAAAGAACGTTACAGAATGATAAGAAACAGAACGCTATGATAAAAAACGTAACGGATTCAAACCTCGCGATCTTATATTTGTTTACTCAGCTGTAGATGCAGCGAGTCTATGGTACGAGCAGTTTTAATAGGGATGTTCCTTATACTTCAATAAGTATCGATATTTTTTATCCGTTGCATTTGATGTTTTAATATAAATTTAAATCAATTAGATTGATACATTCATGTATACAATAAGATTTATTAATATTATGCTACCTTAAATAGAAATTTAACTCATAAGATGCAGATTTATATCTTACTCTTACTAATGTTATAAATGCGAAAGTTTAGATGGATGGATGTTTGTTAGAGTTTGTAGCCCAAACGGCTTAACGAATCTTGATGAAATTTGGCATAGATGTATATGATAGTCTGGACTGG